TTCCTGCCGAAATGATGATAGTAGGAAAACAGGATTGGGACGACCGCCCATCTTTAACGACACTGATACATTTAACAGATACATCCATCCATCCATCCATCCATCCATCTATTTTTGGATAGTGTTTAGGAAAAAAAAAGAAACCGAAAGGGTTACTACCTGAATTTTTCATTCTTAACTTTATAATCTTTTATGCATAATAATATCACGTATGTGTACAGAAAATAGACAAACACAAACATATAAATCAATAGATAGATAAACAAAACATTTAAATTTAAATTTAAATGTAAAATTTCTTTTTCTTTACCTATCCTAAAATTTCTTTCGTAAAATAGAAATGAAAAATCAAAATTTTACATAAGATTTTCATTTCTTCATTTCAACTTTCTTATATGATACAAACATCATTTATTTAGAGAAAAAGAAAAGAAATTTGTAATGGAGAAGGAAAGTGGATGAAAGAGAGAAGAATTTCCGGCAATGATTAATACATAAATTTTAAACTATTTTAATTGTACATTTCATTTTCCTTAAAAACAAATGAAACCATTGAAAGAATGAATAGTAAATGAAAAATGGTTGGAACCAATTTAATGTTTCAATCATACTTATTAAATTCATTATATAAGTTAACCTGTATCGAGACAGTATTATAATTTAAGAATTATTATGTAAAATGATTTTTTTCAAATTAATCATTTAACATAATAATTCTTAAATTACATTTATAATTTAAGAATTATTAATTCTTAAAATAATTCTTAAATTCTTAAATTCTAAAAATTCTTAAATTCTTAAATTTAATAATTCTTAAATTCCATTTATAATTTAAGAATTAGTATGTTAAATGATTAATTTGAAAAAAAAACACAAATAATTTAAATAAATGAATTCATGCATGGATACATGGAAGTGCACTAAAATTCTTCTTTTCATACTTTTATTATAATAATTCAACATGAAAAGAAATGAGATGAAATGGAATGGATAATTGAAAAGAAATTGAATAGAAATGGAATATATGAAAAGAAATTGAATAGAAATGGAATAGATTAATTAATATGGAAATGAAATAGAATACGGACGAATACAACGGAATGGAATGAAATGGAGATAGATACGTATAATATATTATAATTATAAATTTCCATTCCAAAATATCACATATCAGAATATATCTGAAATAGGAAAAAATACAGGTAAGAGCCTTTGCAAGCAAATAAATAGAAATACATTTCCTCGTGCCTTTTGCACCAAATTGTTTTTATTTTTCTATTTACAAGTATTCATGGTAAAATGAAATTGCCAGCATGATCTATGCAAATAATCACACCATACATATTATTAACTAATTATAGATATGTATATATTCTGCTGTATGTGTGATTATTTGTGTTTGTGTATGTATTTTACAAAAATATTTCTGTTTATGTATGTGTTTTACAAAAACAAAGGTGAACTATATGACTAATTTTAAATTATAATATCATCCGAAATTTTATGTCTCATGTTATTTTCGACATTCCCTAACACTGCAACCCAATCATTTCTTAATTTAGTTCGAAAAAATTTCAACATTTTTGAAAATTAACCAAATAAATGTGGTAAAATTAGTAATTTTTGGTCAGTTGATACAGCTCTTCTCATATATAGGAAAATGGATATGATAGAAAATACTATTATTATTTTAAGTTTTATCTATAAAATTGATTGAAATGAATAATTAAGGGAAAAATGCGTCATTGAAGAAGTATGAAAGAATTTCGCATTTGAATAACAATTTTATTTGAATGCTTGAATAATGATATAGCTAATTCAAAAAAACAAAAATTGGAATGAAACCGCATTCCTGCTGAAATATTTTAGCTTGATAAAGAATTCCATTTTTTTTGAAACTATCATAGTTAATGATAAATATCAAAAGTAGAACTTAATAATTTATATTAATATTTTATATATTTTAATAGAACCGTGCTATCAATAAAACAATTGATAATGAGAATAATCGCAGTAATGCTTATTTTCACCTCATTAACAGGTATATTACGAAACCGTGAAATATCCTCTTGTAATTATTATATTCGAGAACTTTGCAACATGGACGTCAACTTATTATAATTCGCTTATGAAACATGATATAATATCAAATGTGCTAATACACTTTATTGCAAGATTATATTACTTAACCAGACAATATTCTCTTACCATTATCATACCCGAGAATTTGACAGCCTGAACATCAACTTATCATTATCCAAAATAGAGTGATGTAAAAGTATAAATAGATATTCCAGCTATTAGCCAATTATAAGCAAAAAAGAGAAATAATAGACTAATAAAACAATAACTAATAAAACAAACAAAGTTTCAAGTGAATGAATAAAAGATAGATGAAAGAATAATAATTGATAACAATCAATAGCTTACAGATAAACTTAACGACACCTGTTGGCTTAGCCCGGGTTAGTTGTTGTCGTTGTTATTTATTTGGCGAAATCTTTTCCTAATCTCTTACTTACTTCTTCATCATCTTTCTAAAACCTCACATTTCCACTCTCCCTTTTTCTCTCTCTCTCCCGTTCCTCAAAATGGATGAAAATAGAAACAGAGAGAGAGAGAGAGAGAAAAGGAGAGGGGAGAGAGAAAAGAATGATAAATATTATGAAAAGATGGATTTATCCACTTGTTCTCCTTCTTCGCCTACCTTCCCTCACCTTTCCTCTGTCGGATAATTTAACTTACAGTTATTTATTCTAACGCTTCATATTTTCAATCAATAAAAAAAGGGCGAAGTTTGATAATATCAACAAGAAAAAATAGAAAGAGAAGAAAGAGTGACAAAGGAAGGAAAGTTAAAGGATTTAGATTCAACTTGAAATGCTTTTAAAAGTTTTCTTTTATCCAGAATAAAATAAGGAATAAGTAAAAATGAGAGATTAAAAAGAAGGAATAGTAAAAGATAGAATAGGATAAAGATAACAATGAGATATGAAAAGAAACGAAAGAAAAAAGTAAAAAAAAAGAAATAAAAAAACACACAGGAAAAGAATGAAAGAAAAGACGGAAAAAATTGATGACAAGATGAAGAGAGAGAGAGAGAGAGAGGAAGGAAATTACGATTAGTAATAGTAGCGATTTAGTAGCGATAGTAGTTATAGATAGCGATAGTAGTAATAGTAGCGATAGTAGTTATAGATAATAGATAATAGTAGTAGTAAGAAGAATGATAGAGAGAATGGATTAGATAATTGTATGAATAAATTTTTTAAACTCATTTCACTTATCGGTTTTCACATCGTATGAGGGAAGGAGGGAGAGAGAGGGAGAGAGAGAGAGAGGAATGCTAATGCTATGAAATATCTCAACGAAATTTCAATTTATAATTTTTTAAAATTATTTAGCTAATAAAAAAGATTTGTTTATAATTTATAAAAAAAATAAAAGTATAAGAAAGAATATCACAAATATATGTTTGATCTTTTTTAATTTATATCGAATAGTTATCGTACCATAGCAAATCAAATAATTATAGTTTACTTTGGGAATATTTCTTTTAAAATGAAAGAGAAAGAGTAAAAAGACTTTGGGAATATTTTCTTTTTCCATCAAAAGAAAGAGAAAGAGAAAGAGAGAGAATAAAGAGGAAGAGAAAAAAAGCATAAGTTATTTTAAAAATTAGGAAATTTTTTCGAGAATTATCGATTGTTTTTCCCCTTATTTCATTAATTATTCCTTTCGAAGGATTATAATTAAAAAAATTTTTAATTATATTAAATTAAACTTAACTATATATTTCGTGCAATTGCAATTTTTAGTCTTTTTTTCTCTGTTTTTTTTAGGTAGAAAATGTAGTATGTAGTAAATTGGAAATTAAAATGAATAAATTGTTAATGAATGAATGAGTGAAATCGTAAATTGGAAATTAAAATGAATAGATTGTTAATGAATGAATGAAATTATTTTGGATCATTCAGTAATAAAAAGATTATTAAAGAATGGATAATAGAAAAATTAATGAAATATTTATAAGAAATTATTATTAAATCATTTTTAATAGTTCCTTTTAATATTAGGAAAAATTTCAAAAAAGAAAATTTATGTCACATACTGAAATCTAAACAAATTTATTATAAATTTATAAATAAAAAAAAAGATTTATAACAAAAATAAATTTCCTAAAAATTTATTTATAAATGGACGAAAAACAAAAAATATAAATAATAAAAATACCGTAAGATAACAAAAAAAACGAGGAAATATCGTAGTATAAATTCGTATCTTACAGTTCTTTCTTTTAATTTAAAAATAAATTTCACATTTACAATTTAAAATTATCAAATTAAAAATCCATTTGCCTTAAATTCTTTTCCTTCTCTTTTGAAGGATTCCATTAGTAATTGCTATTATTATAACATTCCTTCTTTGTTCATTACTTTTTTTAGAATAATTATTTTATTTATTTATGGAAACTTAAAAATTCGTTTAATTTTAAAACTTTTGATTAATTGCTAATTTTATTAATAACAAAAGGTAAATTATGATAAAGGTAAATAATAAAGGTGAATAAAGGCAAAAGGTAAATAATTGGAAATTACTTTTCAAATTAGTATATTAATAAATTAAACGAAAAAAAGAGATTGCAATAGAAGAGAAAATGAAAGAAATTAAAAAATTCCAATTAACTAATTTGATTGAATTATATATACATATATTTGGATTATAATTGATAAGATCACATGTATATTGATATATTGATAAAATTGAAATTCATAAAAGTTCTCATTTATAAAATAGCCAAAAATAATTTCGAAAATTTCGCCAATCAGATATTTCATTTAAAAATGCAATAACGAAAAATGAAATGATGAAAAAAATAGTAGGTTGGGAAAGGAAAAATTAGAGAGAGATAAAAAGATATGAGGATATTCCAGCAACATAAACAACTCATTAAATATCATTAAACATTTAAAAGACAGTTATTATTATCACCATCATCATTATCTCATCATTACCACTAACATTATGACCATCATTATCACCACCATTATCACCATCATCATCATCTCATCATCACCACCAACATTATCACCATCATCATTATCACCATCATCATTATCACCATCATCATCATCATCACCATCATCATTATCACCATCATCATCATCATTTAAAATATTCCTTTTTTTAAATTTGAAGTCCTTCAAACAGATATCATCTCACATTAACGAAATACACTTTTCGCTATAAAATGATGTTGACATTCATCATAAGAACGTTCATCGAATAATATCGCCAATAACAACTTAAAAATTTATCAATGAATTTTTAAAGTATGTTATACGTAAGAAATTTTAATTAACAAATAATAAAGAGAAAAAAAAGAACCTAAATCAATCAATATTATTTTATATTTACCATGAAGTTAGCAATAAAAGTTTAGTTAAATTTAGCATTAGAAATTCATCGTTAGAATTTTCTTCTTCATTGATCTATCATCTATCTTAGCGATTACCAGCCAGCTACCCATCATTCTTTTCTCCTCTCTCTTACATTTTCAATGATTATATTTTAAATGAAAGAAATTATTTCAACTCGAAATAGTCTGCAACATTATTTTCCTTCTATCTAATCACTCCTATTATTATATTTCCTTTTTAACACTTATTCACTTTTACTCTTCCATTCTTTTCGTATTTTTTCTTTCTTTTCTTGTTTGTTTGTTTGTTTGTTTATTTATTTGTTTATTTGTTTATTTTACCAAAATAATTTTCCCTTCCATTTTAAAATACATTTCAAAATGAATGAAAATACAAATGATTTTATCGATGGGAAATGAAAAAAATTAAAAGAAGGGAAATGTTTCAAATTTGAATAAAAAATTTGTTTGTGAATTTATTTATTCAATTTGTTACACTTTTTTTTGAAATCAAAATGACGCCATTTATTGCATTCTTTTCCGTTTCTTCGAAAAACTTTCCGTTTTCCTTCTCTCCCGTTATTCCGTTTTTTTTTCATCCAATTTTTCTCATTCTCTTACATTTTACCACACAATCGTAATCGTATCTTTCCCTTTATTTCATTCATTTCATGAAAATATTTGCTAACTGAAATGAATTTCTAACTGATAAAAATAATTTAACTTTTAGGTAATGATAAGCTAGATTACTTTCTGATTTGATAACTCAAACATTTCATCAAAAATAAAAAGTACAAATTGATGGGATAAATTTATTTCAATGTATTCCAATAAATACCGTATAAAAATCATTATGCACTTAATTTTTTTCAAAGAATTAAATTGTAAATATGGTAATGCATATTTGAAATGTAACGCTACAACTATTTTCATTAATGCTTTAATCACCAATTTGATGAATAATTAATCAATTTTTTTAATACTTAATTAGTAGCACTCTTATGGTACCTTTTTAAAAATTACGAAAATAAACTTTTATAGGTTGGCAGGTAAAAAAGTTTTAAATTTAACTATTCTTCATTTAATTTTATTTCTTATATGCATTGCATTTTTTTTTGATTATTTACTCAAATTTTTTGAATAAATATTTCTTTTTGGATAAAAAGTTTAATAAAATGTTAGCCTAAACTTTTTATTTATTTGAATAATTTTATTTATTTGAATAAAATTTCTCGCATTTTTCAACGATTTAAACGAAACTTTTCCTCTACGATAATTCAATAATAAATAACAAGATATTGTAATGAAGATACTGTGGAAGACAAAAGGACAGATACTGTAATGAGCTTTAATTTCAAAATATGATTTATGCATAGAAATTAAACATTCAAAAAAATAGAAATTAGTTTGAAAAAGGAAAAAGAAAATAAGATATGATTGGAAACAAACCCTTTCTTGTTGCTCTTTGTTCATTTTGTCACCCATAATTCAGAAACAGTGTAGAATAAATTTTTAAAAAATAAAAGACTTTCTTCTTGTTCTGAGAAAGTTGTTGAATAATTTTCCTAAATTATATTAATTAATGATAATTATTGATTAATCAATAAATAACTATTATTTATTTCATATATAACTTAAAAGTGATAAAATGAGAAAATTATCGAAACTTACTGTATTACTAATTAATTATGCTAAAATATATCAAAAATTTTCGATAATATTTAAAAATTATTTCGATGAGAAAACAAAGAAAAAATAAAATTAAAAATAAAAAAAGGGGTGAAAAAAGAAAAATTAATTAAGATTAAAGTATATACTTTACCTGATAATGTATTATTGTTTGTTCTGTTGATGATCGTTCTCTCGATGATAATACTATTCAGGAAATGACAGTGATAATAATAATTATTATAATAGGAATAATGATAATAAAAGCGCTGATAATATTCTAATACGTAATTTTTGTCTCACTTTTTTCTTCCTTTTCGTTTATCAACTAAGAATGATAATTGTAATGATAATGATAATATTGATTAATTTGCAAATCTTTAAATATTTCAGGAAAATTGAACAATATAAGCCTTCCTTTCAACCAGCCAACCAACCAAACAGCTTTTCACTGAACAGACGTTGTCGATTTGAATGTTTCTATCCGTATGTTTGTATTTCTTTCTGATAACACAACGAGTGATTAAAAAAATTTCTGAAAAAAATTTTCCTTTCATTTTTTACAAAGAAAGAATTTTTATTTGTAAACGTTATTATTGTGAATTTTCTACAAAAAAAGATATCACTATAACATGATATCATGATAATTACGATATATTAATTAAACCAAAATATAATTAGAGTGAAAATAATACAAGAAATAAGATGAAGCAGAACACTATAACATGATATCATGATAATTATGATATATTAATTAAACTAAAATATAATTAGAGTGAAAATAATACGAGAAAAAAGATGATACAGAGAGATATCACTATAACAAGATATCATGATAATCACGAAATATTAATTAGACTAAAATATAATTAGAATGAAAATAATACAAGAAAAAAGATGAAACAGAAGATATCACTATAACAAGATATCACGATAATCGCGAAATATTAATTAAACTAAAACGTAATTAGAGTGGAAACAATACAAGAAAAAAGACGAAACAGAGAGATATCACAATAACAAGATATCATGATAATCATGAGATATTAATTAAACTAAAATATAATTACAATGAAAATAATACAAGAAAAAGATGAAACAGAGAGAAAGAGGGAGAGAGAGAAAGATGGAGAGAAAGAATAAAAAGAAGGACTGCATATTTTGGGTATGTTAACACTTATCAATTTACTTGAATATTAGTGATAAGAACAATTTTAAAATGAAAAAAGAAAATGCAATCAATACTAAAAGCAGGAAAGTAAAAGCAATAGAATAATTTTTCTATTATAAATACTTTTTGCAATCTTTTAGTAACAAATATAATTATTGCAATAATTGATTCGAAGAAAAAATAATTAATATGATATTATACATATTTAGTTATCAGTATTATTTTTCACTCAACATGTTATCAAGTTATCAGTTTTTCATTCATATTCAGTTATCACGATAAATAATGTTAATTCATATAATATTATTTATTTCTAAAATGTTTTTGTTATATAAATACTAGCAGTTATAATTCAATAACTTTAGAAATTATTGTTTAAAGTTATCATATTGTAGTGATATAGAGAAATGATAGATAAGAAATGAAAATTATCATAATTATAAAATCAGTTAAGATGACAATTTATCTGTAATATCTCGATAAAAATCAATGGAAGAAATAATATTATCAACAAATTATCACATTGTCATTTAACGGCTTGTTATGCTATCATAGAATATAAAGCAATTAATAATATATATGCAAATTAAATCAAAACAAATGTATGCATATATATTTAAAAAAAAATCAAAACAAATTTATGCAAATTATTAACATTTAAATGTAAAAATTTCAATACAACTTATTTAATGAATATTTTTTAATTGAATACTGAAATAATATTTGCAGGAGAAATCGTTTGAAATGCTTTATCGAATATATCATTAAAATACGAATGTGAAAAAACAAAGCGAAAATTTTTAGGCTTAGCAAATGATTTAAAAATGAAAAACCTCTTCTCTTCTAATGAATTTCAATAGTAAGAGCCGATTTACAACAAATATAAACTATAAAATAAGGTATTATATTTTTTCAGTTGCCTAAAAGAAAGGATAATGAGAGAAAGATGAGTGAAAATAAACTTATTAATGTTGAAAGAGTAAAATAATCCTTATTTTGTTACAGTATATCCGATTTGATCATTTCTTAATTGTTGTAATTTTTTACAGATGAAAGGAACGAAAGAAAGGGAAAGAAAAGAATGGAAAAGAAAACAGGGAAAGAGAAAATTTAGGAATCATAAATAAAATTTAGCTTTGAAAAGCTTAATTGAGATTAATGAATGCTATGATTTTATGAAATCACTGATAAGCATCATTTAACATCCTCCATTCATTATTTTCGAGCTGAAAACATTAAAGCAATCAAGTTGATAGTTTTGTTTCTTAAAATTTGAAATTGAATTTATCAATTAATTATTGTCTATTATTGATAATATTAATTATCAACAATTTTTATCATTAAATGAAGGTAAGAATAATGTTAAATTTTGTAGTCAACATTTTTTTTTGTAATTTTTTGTTCTACCCTATAAATTAATTAATATTTTAAGTTAGAAACCTGTCCTAATCGATCATTAAAAAATTATCAAATTTCATTTTATATTTTATTCATTAAGAAAAATAGAATAATAAAAAGAAAACAATGCATTTCATTTATGAGAATATTTTTAGGTAAATTACAATTGCAAAATTATTTTGGGATGAATTTTTTACGAAAAACAAAAATTATGAAAATCTGGTTAAATTTTATTGATCAAAGATTTGCAAGTAAGAGCAATTATTCATATGAAAAATTGATAGAAAGCTGGCAGCAAGCGGAATGAATGTGATAGCATGACAGAGATATTTGTTATAAAAGGAAAAATTTGAATAATAAAACGATAAAAAAAAAGAGCTGATAGAAATATCGATTTCAAAAAATAAGGAAAACAATAAAAATAATTAAGAAAAGACAATATTTATTTTAACATAAAAAGAAATGATAAGAAAGATAATAAAAAGAAATTTCGAAACAATTCTTAATCATATAATCAATCTATTTACGTCATTCCCAAATATTATAAATATCTAAATAGGATATATGCAGAAAATGATGTAAAGGTTATTTGTCTTTCCTTAGATATTTCAAACTAATATATCGACATTGTCGTAGAAATGGCGAAAAAAGATTTTTTAAAAATTTGTAATTGTTAAAATTTTTTTGATTACATTATATATATATTATATAATTAAACGTGTATTGATAACAGAAATAATGAAAAATTATCTCTTATCAAATATACAATAATATTATTGATTGATAAATTGTTGAAAAAATATTTTAAAAAAAAAGAAGTTAAAATTCATATCATTTCATATAATATACACAAATAATACTATTGTTTATAAAT